CACTATAAAACAAATATTTATGATGACTTCACCATATTCTCAGAAGTTCTTTCTGTGGCATAAAGATATGAAAATTAAAGGCTATGAGACACTGGTAGTAAAAGACAAAAATAGGATGTCTGTCAATGACATTTAAAGAGTAAGATTCGAGGAGGCATGATTTGGCTAGTGGAAAAAAAGAGATTTAGCACACTACTTTCGAACATTAATTTTTTTTAGCCCCACTATTGAGAAAATTATGCCCATAGTTTCTGTCAAAACAAACAGATGCCATGGGATAGACCCAACATCACTACATTCTTGCCAACACAAATACTCCTGCCCACAAGATACCACCTGGGATAGATTCCTCAAAAATGTCACTATCATGAAAGACAGGAAGTCATTCGAGACTTAGAGAGCAAGAGAAACAGCAATAAAAGATGAGGTCCTTGATTGAATCTTGTGTTGGAATGTATTTTTTTAAAAGTTACAAACGACTTTATTAGGGTGATTGTGGAAATTTAAAATGCGGACTGTATATTACATAAGAGTATCATAATAATGATGCATTTCCAATGCATGGTGATCGTATTGTGGTTATAGAAAGGAAGTGTTGGGTGACGCCTGTGGCTCAAAAGGGTAGGGCACCAGTCCCATATGCCAGAGGTGGCAGGTTCAAACCCAGCCCTGGCCAAAAACTGCAAAAAAAAAAGAAAGGAAATGTCCTAATTTTTAGGAGATAATGTGCTTGAAGTATTTAAGAGTAGAGTGTCAGTGTCTGCAGCAGTGAACAAAGCCATGTGAATGGTGTACTAATCACTGTATTCTCATTTCAAATTGTCTACAGGCCTGAAGATTTTCAAAGTAATTTTAAAGAACAGCAAACAAGTACATAATATATGTACTACAAGACCAGCAACAGGATAACTTCTGTTTTTTATTTTAGCTCTTTACTGTATTTACTCTAATTATAAAGGCTTGCTCATTAGAAAACATAAAATAGAGCTATATGTAAAGGGTGAATATATACACCAGCCTAAAGACATGCTTCATGACTATACGTACATCCTTTTAATAGATGCTTTGAGTCACTATTTAAGATAACATTACAATTTTACTATATATAAACACATGTATCTCCCCTCAACTCTTTGCCAATAAAGGTAGACATACAGTTATCATTTTCATTACTGTAGAGTCTTCCATTATACAGCCATACAATAGCTTGTTTAATCAATTTCCTACATCCTTCGGTTTCAAATTTAGGACTATTTCTATTTCAATTTAAGAGATCTACATATTTCAGCACAGCCACGTCTACTTTCTTCTTTAATATACAGAAGAATTTCAGCAAAGCATATCATTAGGGTCTGAGACAGAGGTTCCTTATCAAATAAAGGTGATAAGCCCTCTAGATACCATACAATGGTATCTAATATGAAATTTTATTCTGATGGATAAAATCCACTATTGAGGCTCCAAGGTATACTTATTTTATCAGTCAGCATTCCCCTATCACTGGTTCCCAGGCTGTGAATCAAGTCATGCTCATTCCAACCCACAGTCCTTTGCACCCAAGGCCCTCTTGCCTGCAAAACTTTATTTCGTCTGTTCTGGATACACACCTCACCTCAAAATGAAGTTAGTTATCCATTCATGACACTAACTCATAATGAAATGGTAGACTAACTGTTAAAAAAATATTTGTCTAACATCAGAGACATCACAGGAATAAGCAATTACTAAGGGGAAGGGTAGAGGAACATGCAGAGTTACGGAGAAGGAGGGGCACAAGGGAGGGAATCCTTCCTGGGCCAAGAGAAATGCAAATGACATGAAATTTATGTGAACCAGCTTGATGAAAGTATTTCAAAACGTACATGAAAACACTACACTGTACCCCATGTTTGCATTAATGTATACAGCTATCTTTTAATAAAAAAAAAAAAAAAAAAAAAAGAAACAAAAGAGAAGATAATCTTGGATTCTTTAGAGGATTGTGAGTTGCCCACTCTAACTAGAAAGAAAGGTCAGGAGGGGAGTGGTTGTGGGGAGCTTTCACATCATGGTAAGAATGGGCTTCATGGGAGTTATGAATTGCTCTCTATGCTAAGCAATTTTTCATAATATGATTATTCCAGGAAAGTTAAAGATTCTTCTTTTTAAAATGTTATACAATTCTCTTCCAACTACTCTGAAAAAACTATCTCCATAATTGTTTCTCTGAACAAATACACTTTTCTCTAAATTTGTGTAAGTGGCACAAGATGCTGTGGCACGCTGTCAAGTAAAGCCGTGCTTGTCACAGCTGCCATGCTCTGGTTCCTGTTTTTAAAAATGTATCAGAAACAGTCTCTGCCATAATGACTGTGAATATCTGTCTTTATGAACATGAGGATTAGCTTAAGTTAGGAGATTCATTGAAAATAAGCACAAATTTTACCTTTAAGGTTTTATATTCATCAAGAATTGTGGAGCACAAAAACTCACAGTTCTTTGAATAGGAAAAGCTATTTGCCAATAATATTTAATGAGAGTGAAGAATCATCAAAGGTGAAAAAGCATCACTTAGCTTTCCATGATGAAAAAGTAAATTTGTAGTCAAATGTTCTACCCCTGAGCTATCTCCCTGAAAAACTTGAAAAGTAAATTGACAGCTTTTCTAAAACTGAGACAGACATGCTCAAAACAACAAACTTGTCTTAATATACCGTATAATTAAACATGTTTTCCAGTGTATCATTAAAATCTCCCTCTCCTCCTATAAGCAATTCCAATGGTTATGCTGGAGCCCAACGCAAAGAATACAGTCCTTTTGAAAACCCTCTGCTTTATCAATGCTGGTTTGTTTCCTCCTGGTGAAGAGAGGAAGTGATCCTGAAAGCATCTAACATTCTAAAACAAAACTCTTTAGCGGAGATTTAAAAGAAAGAAAAAAGCCAATGCAATGTTAAGTCTTAGAATGAGTATAAGCTAGGTCAAAGTGAGCAGGGAAGAGGATGAACTTTAAAAGATCACGTTAAGTTTAGCTTCAGTAAGACACCAAAAACTTCTTGAAAAGATACTAATTTGAGATTTTAACTACGTATACTGAAGCAGAAGGCATTAAAATCAATGAATACTTTTTTATACTTTTAAATAATATTGACTAAGTTTAGGGTGCCAATGTATGCCAGTGCATTATATCCAATTATATTTGATTTATTTTCTTTCATAAACTAATTACAGGATTGTTAGTCAATTAGTAATAATGGAATTGAACTGAATGATTTCTAAAATGCTTATCAGCTTCTACTTGTATAATTCTGTGCAAAGGGTGACAGATTATATCAAGAGAACATTGTCATTTAAAAAAAATCCTTAACATTTATTTTTTATTACCAAGGTAAGAAATTATTTTTATTTTTCACTTTTTAATTTACAGGGCCACTGCAGCTGAAGAAATATCTAGACAATTCTGAAAGATAGACTATTTCACCAAGAGAAGGAAGTAAACTTAAAAAGGAAGCTATTCCAGAGTCTGAGGGTTCTAATTGCAATGAGATGAAAATTGTACATAGCACAGATGCCAGAAAATTTTTATATTCTCTGTTAAATTCAAAGCCTAGTAATATCCAGAAAATATTCCACAGGACTTTCTTGACCAGAAAAATCAAGAAATCATGACCAGAGAACTGGCATGGCTAGCGATTACCCACACCCTACAGCCAAACCCTTCTGGAAATAAGCAGTAAGTTTTCCAACAAGCCATGTGAGTGAGAAGGAGAGTAATCTGACTTCTGACCTTCTCTAGGACAGACATGGTTGGCAGAAGATGACATCTATTCACTGTATTGTGAATGTAAAGACAGGAGGCTCTTTTAATTTTAAGCAGAGATTTTTCTAAGCCAGGTGATACATATTCTCCTTCTACATAGAGCAACAATCTATCTTAAAAAAAAAAAAAAGACATATTATTACTGAGAAAGCTGGGCAATGTTGAGTCTGTTAGTAACACCTGCTCCCCTAGAAAAGGAAAACATGTTGCAAGGAAGGGTTTTTCCCAAGTGTCACCCTAATGGAGGTTAAAATGCAAACCAGGATACCATCCATTTAAATCTGTCTATAATTCTCTATGCTTCTGTACTTTCCCCACAGTTTTAGTACAGACATTACCTCATTTGATTCACATCACAATCATAAAAGGTAGCTTGTATTATGCTTATATTACAATGGGAAAGTTGAGGATGACAAACTTAAATCACTTTCTCAGGGTCACACCTAATCTTCAAAGCCTGAATCCAGGCCAATATCTTCTAAATCTAGTTTGCATTCCTTATAACCAGAGCTGCTAATGAAAAAGAACAAGATACTTCTCTAAGCATAATTCTTGCCTAGAAGTAGCCAGCAATATGACCAATGTCAATTAACAAAATAAATAAAACAGTACCCCAGTAGATGCAAAAACGGCCCCAGAGATGTCCAAGTCCTAATTCCCAGAATCTTACACATGAATAGGTGACTTTACAATGGCAAAAAGGACTTTGAAGATGTGATCAAATTAAGAATTTTGGAATAGAATAATTATTTTTCTGGATTATCTGGGCAGACCCACTATAATCAGAAGAGGGGCAGAAGAGGCCATGACACAGTGATGCAGAATGAGGAAGAATCCAGTAGCCACTGCTGGACTTGAACATGGAGGAGGAGGCCACGTGCCAAGGAATGCCAGCAGCCTCAAACA